ACCGAGGCAAACGAGGCACCTACCGGCAGCGGTCATACGCCCAGGCGCTGAAGAGGGTCGGCTGCCAGAGCGTGGAGGCCACTGTCCGTCAACGGCGCCTGCTCTTTGCGGGGGCCGTGGCAAGACAGCCAGACGGGCGGCTTCCGAAACGGCTGATGTTCGGCGAGTTGGTGGGAGGGGAGAACCCGGGCCGGGGAAGCCCGGAGCAGAACTGGCTGATATGCCTGAAGGACGACCTGAAGATGTTCGAAGCCAGACACGGCTCCACGCCTGACAAGCAAAGCTTCTTCGGAATCCCGAAGCCAGACTGGGACGAGGCGGCGAAGGTAGAGGGGGGGGTACCGTGGCACGCGGGGGTGCTACAGGGAGCTGAGAGGTTTATGGCCTCTTGGCACAAGGGCGAGGAGAAGGCCAGCCGACAACGAGCCATCAAACGAGGAGACAGCGGGCCCAAAAATAGTCTAGATACGGCACCAATCAACGGGGCGGTAGGGGGGCGGAAGGAAACGGCGCGGCGGGAAGAAAGCAAGCGAGAAGAGACCGACCGCGTGACGTGACATGTTGCGGTCGAATTTCAACGACTAATTTTTCTGTTGCCCTCTCCCCCGTTTGCTGTCGCGTTCAGACTGTCTCTACGGATATCCCTGTCTCTGTGCGAGTTTGTTTATGTCCTCGTCTGTCTTTGGTTTATTTCGTTTTTGTTTTGTTTTCTACTGGCACGTACTGTTGACCCTTGGGGTCCTCCTGGAAGGCTACCGCCCAGGCTGGTGGTGCGCACGTTCCACTATTTATTTATTTATTTGTTTCTGATTCTTTTGTTTTCTTGTATTTTATCGCTCTGCTAACCCTTGGGGTCCATTTTATTTTGGTATACCTTTTCTAGGTACGTTAGCCTGTGACCACGGAAATTGACCGAGTCAAGTGCTGGATTAGTACGGAGAGATTGAGACAGAAGGAGGTACTGGATAGAGAGACCGGGATGGTTTTTAATGTGAAGACAACAACAACAACAACAACAACCTACGTAAATTCTATGGTGTGCCATTCCCTTGCATGGGAGAGTTTGCCCACCTCGCGTCCCCGATCTGGCAGACGCGGTCCCACTCCGCCGGCAGGGGGCTGCGCTTGTAGGTGGGGAAAAAGCCGAACAGAACTCTTTGGAACTCCAGGTCCTCGATTTCCACACCCTGGTACCTGCCGCAAAAACAGAGCACAAATGCGATATGAATATGGGCCAACAGCTGCTCGTTACTACAAATAAGGTATGCAACAACAAAAAAAAGTTCAAGAAAAACTGACAAACATTTAATAACATCGAAAAACCACCAAGGCACCATGATCACATGTATATGGTTTGTCAACGGTGTCCTCCAGTCTCCACCGTGACAGACGATTGCTATGATGAGAAGGTGCTCACGATGTATCCCGCCGTTTTGGTAGCATTCGGCAAACCAACTTGAGAAACGACTTCAAGAGACTCGTCAACTGCAAAACCAATACAACACAAAAATAGCAACGTTATTCGTGGTCCATGTCCAGGGTAGTAATGACATGCAGACGGAGATGTCATCAGCCAGCCGTTGGAAAAATGTTTGAAATTCCGCGCTTTTTGAGCTCAGCGTCTAATATTTCTCGCGGCAGATTGAAGTTTTTGTTTTCGCCGGCCTGGTGAACACGGGCTGCGAAGGGTGCCCGACTAAGTACCAGCGTTGAACGGAGGAGGGGGGCGAACAAACACCATGGTAATGGGGTCTTGACTCACTGCGGGAGGAGTTCCCAGTAGTCGTCCATCATGTCCTCCAGTGATGTTCTCCTAGGGTCTGCGTCCATGTACGCGAACATGTAGGTGGTCCTGGAGGGTCGGCGGCGGGGGGGGGGGTCCACAGGTGGGTAAAGACGGTCTGCCAAAAAACAGCCAGAGTTAGAAGCAAGTGCACCCAAAAAACGCACAGACGCTACTAAACTACATGCCTCTACAAGGTGTTTTACCAACCAACACTTCGCAAGGTATGATGGAAGAAAGGACCATGAAAGCGAGCGGACTTCTTTCTCCAGTCCACCGCAGTGAGCATGAAAAAAAGGGGAGGGGAGGGGGGGGGGCGTCCAGGAGAGAAGAAGCCTGCAGGATAACATTGAGCACCTTACTCGATGAGCTGAGCGGCACGATTCCAGCCCGATCTATGTATAAACTAAGTTTGGGGTCCCACCTTTGACCGCCAAAACTCCCAACTAACGTTCTTGCCGGTGTTTCTTCATGTTCTTGTCTTGAAAACGACAACATCCGAACATTCCATCAGGCTCGCCGTTGTTTCTTGCTACAGTACCTGGAACTCTCGTTGAAACACAAGCCTCACGTTCTTATCGGCGGAGAGCCGTGCAGCGTGTTCTGTGTCGAGCATAAAGTATTATTTTACGCCGAGAGTTTTGAAGGGCGTTCTGTGCCACTCTTCGATATGCCTCCTGCTGTTACCTGTCCCCTGGCCCGGACCCCGCCGGGAAAGCCTCCCAGAAATACTGAACTCCCACCCCGTCCCCCTTGTCGAGGATAGGGTTGTTGGCGTAGATGATGTCGCCGCTTTTGTTGGTGTCCGGGTTGTACCCTCTGATGAATGCGCAGAAAAGCACGGGGCGGGGAGTGTTTCAGGAAATCCTGTGCGAATGCGAGGGTCTCGACAAAACCGTTTCAGACACATGAATGGGTTGTCCCAGAAATGAGTTGCTCACTCGCGTTCACCTTTCGCACCCACCGGTGTTCGTTGTGGCTGCTTGTGGGTTCCGTGTTCCTGGAAGACCAGCAGGGTTGATCACTACTGGTACTAGTTGTTCATGTCGATATCATTCGTGTGGTTGCTCTTGTTCCGTGTACAACCCGACCCTGCCCTGTCCTCTTCTCGGCACCCCCATCTCCGGCGCAAGACTATCGTGACAAGCAAGGTATTCTTTCTCTACCCGGTCTTCACCGCACTTTCCCCACAACACTTTGTACAGAGATATCGCGGAGCGATCGAAACGGGAATGAACAATCGTCAGCTATCCAGAGCACCGCCTTGGCCCTCGCCCATTTCACATGATTTTCGTCCGCACCGTTCCGACAAATTAATTCCGCCGCACAAGCCAAGCGCATGCCGATGCACCACAAACACACGCGCGGTCCAACGCAAGGAACTGCTCGCTTTATCCAGTCCATACACATCGATCGCCCCCTGCGATTGTCGAGGCCACCTCGCCCATCAGTGCGCCCGCCTGCTTAACACCAATAGTACTCGGTGAGCGTGCCTCGACCAGTGCGGTAAGGCCTCGCTAAGCTTCGACTAGAAAAAACCGAGCGCCCGTCCGCCTTATGCTGGCATTCGACGTCGGTGTCAGCGGGACAGACGCAGCGTGATTACGCACTGCACGGCGGCGACCAAAACCCGCGCGCAACAAAACGCCGGTCTTCTTCTCCGTCTTCACGCTTTATCTAATACGACCCCTCGCGCTGTTGAAGCCGGACCGATCGAGAATCGTCCGCACCCCGTGTCAAACAAGAACAGAGCAGAATCCCTAGGTACGAATGGTGTGCGTAAACTGTCGATGCACAAAGGTCAGCCGGAAATAAAACTGTAAACGCCATCATAATCGCAACCACAACCACAACCACAACCGGAACCGGAACCGGAACCGGAACCGGAACCGTATCTTAGTCCCAGTCCTTGTACTACATAGCCTACTACGTAGGAGTGGACCCGTATCATTTTCGCAGTCCTCACCTAGCGCACGAGCCAACGACGAGGCATACCCCCTCGGGCTTCTTGCCCCATCGGATCTGCCGCACCATCGGCGAGGCGTTCCCCATGCAGTCGAGTACCAGCCGCGAGGTCACCTCCTTCGCAAAACCACCGCCGTGAGCGAGCACGACAGCAGACAGGTGCATAGTTATTGTTGTTGTTGTTAGTCATGTTTTCGCTATTGTTGGTGTCGTCCTTGTTGTCGTCTTTGTACCTTCTACCATCCGCATCGGTCCAACTAGCGCGAATGCCTTCTTTGGCGACAGGCGAACTAACCAAAAAAGGGGTGGGCCAGGTAAGGCACTATTCAAGGGACTCTAATGGGGACAAGGACGGTCAGTTCGAGAGGAAACGCTGGGTGCTTTGGCTATGGAGCGAGACACAGAAAACGGCGCCTCCATCGTCAAAATTCCACAAACACCAGAGTGAGCAGCTTTGGAGAAGGCAAGACGCAGCGCACAAGGCACCCTCAGAAATGCAGAGGCTGCCCCACATCCCCATCACCATTGCTTCAGGCCTAGTGCTTTCTCGACCAGTGAGAGAGATGTATACCCCCGCTACCAAAGACGGAGAGCAAAGCGGCCGCTCTTGATTCAAAGTGAAGGAGGTGGGTAGCCTCAGATGAACATCGACGATGCTGTCGTGTAACATCGCCATCGCCAAAGGTTAGCCGTTAGTGGGCGCGGCGATTTAGGAGCGAGAGATGCCGCCAACGGCAACGCAACAACAAGAGGGAAATCAAAAACGGAAAAAAAGGCAACGGAAATCATCTACAGCGTACTTCCGCCGAAGCGTGCACATGCGTCTTGTTGATTTCGGCGGAATGTTCGTTTGTGTCGCATTTTTGGGCAATCTTGCGATCCTCGCTGTGAAGTACTCTCCTCCGGAATCAAACTGTTCAGTCCCTGACCGACCGTAATGGTTACATACCTCTCCAGTACCAGCCCCCGACGCGGGAGGCTTACTCCCCGGTGGCGAAGACGGGGATGTTGAAAGAGCGACCCCGTCTGGCCTTACGCTAACGCCGTCGATGGAAGTGAACTCCATGACGACCCCTCCCTTGGTCTCGAAACGCCGACGAGCCCGGTCCACCAAGAGAGACGGCCTGAGGGAACGTGAGGATTGGGTGGATGGCTAAATCTCGAACGGGTGGATGGCTAAGGGCAAGAGTAACAGCAGTAGCAGCAGCAGCAGCAGCAGCAGTAATCACCAACAAGAGCAACAACGAGATCAGCGCTCACATCATCAACAGAGAAACACCTCCACCAGCGACAAATGACAGCAGCGATCGCGACACGAAAGACATCAGCAACCGCAACAAGTACCACAACACAACGACCCCATCTCGCCAAAGACAACCAACAACAACTAGGAAGAGTGTTGACTCACTTCACCCCCGTGTTGAGTACGTCCGGACAGAACGTGTCCACGGCACCAGGGTCACCCTCCGCCCTCTTGAACCCCGCCCGCAAAGGGTTGAAGCGTATGCTCACACATTCCTCTGCGTCCTGCACAAACAAGGGAGTGGTGAAGAGTGTTCTTGCGTCATTTGCGGTTCTTCCTGAGACAAGTAGTCCCGTCTCCGAATAACTCGTTCATTTTTCTGGCACGCAATTACTTCCGTCACCGAGGAACATAAACCTCCGGCGCACCCGTCGCAGGTTTTGGTGCCGTTGGCTTTCAAATGCATACATTTTCGGGATATGTGTGAAAGCATCTTCTTCACATGTTTGTTGTTGCTGTTGTTGTGGCTGTCTATACATTCAAACCTCATCTTGACCTCTGTCCACCACCTCCCCCGTCTTCTCTACTCTTCGCAGTGGGAAACAAAACGGTTAACGTGGTCATAGGCTGACCCCACGTAGGGGACATTTGAGTCTGGTATAAAAGTGTCAGTGCAGACAGGTGGTTAGAACCTTCGGCTCTCTTGAGAAGATCGTGTGTTGCACACTTTCTCCCTGTAGGGGCATAGCGATCGCACGGTACGGTATCGTCAGCATAGTTTTGGTGATGTGGGGAATGGGTGCATCGTGTGGTTAGACGAAACCTCAGGCCATGTGATATCGTGCACAAAATTCTTACGTGGAGATATTTCTGCTGGTGGTCGGCATTGAGACTCAACTCATCATTTTCGTAGCCCCACGAATCACTCACGTACTTGCATATTTGACGCAACACACACCACCTCTCATCCCCGGCTTTCATTCGCCATCGCCTCGCAGCCTCTCTATTTTCCCTCTTCGGCGCCACGATTTCACTCCCCCGGCGGCGAGACCTCCTATCCCACTCACGCAAGACTACTCAACTCCAGCACCTCGCTACTGCCTTCCACCATACAGAACGCCACCACTTAAGAAACCGGAAGAGTAGAAATTGTGGGCTCGATTCACGCAACGATAGAACTATGAACCTTATCCACACTCAAACCTAAGTACTTCGCATGTACTCCCGGTTGGTTGGTTTCCCTTCTGATCAAATGAGGAGGAGCGAGGCGCAATTGTAAGGGTTTCTGAATACACGTAAGTGTGTGAAATGTTCTACACTTCCAAACCCCCACGTGCGAGGGGAAAGTCCGAATCACCCCACCCAAGCTTGAGAGGCTCGACCAACCGCCTCACCTCCTTGCTCAAAACCTCCGCCTCCACCATCTCCTCCAGCTCGGCCTCGCTGATGTTCCACTCCTGCTCTCTGCCCAACAGCGGGCCCCTCTCCACAACGCCCACTCGGAAACCCCTGTACGCGTGTGCGTTTCTTGTATTAGCATCGACCGCGCTAGCTGGCTGACGGACACAACCAAAAGACTTAAGCCTTGTAGCGGGATGAAAATATTCAACACCTTGTAATCAATTGGTTATGCCGACAAGAGTGTGTTGTGTGGGTGTGTGTCAGGCGTGAACCCACCAATTGCCAGAGAAAAAGTTGTGTGCGTGAGCTTCTGTGTGCCGGACAAAGAACGGGAGGCGTACGACCAGCGCGGGTGTTGCGGACGGGGACAGAGGGGTGGTTACCCACACGGAGGCCAGAACAGGTAGTATTCTCAAGACGAAACGACGCACAAACGAAAAAAAGCCAACGACAACAACCATAGAAAACAGGGTAAGTGATGCTTGCTCGCCAAAGAGAGCGAGTAGGTCCGTCCACGTAGAGGTGGGACAAGAAAAGCGACTTCTTCTATTTTCTCGGGCCGGCCGACTGACCGGCAGGAAGCGGGGGCAATCAAGGGGCGGGTGGGCAGCCACGGAATGGGTTGGCTTGTCCAAGACGTCGACTGACTGGCTAGCGAGCAGCGTATAGATACACCCAGACAGGGCTTGGTTATGGTGAAGGAGTTTGGAGCGGTGCAACACTTTACCACATGCAGGACACGGAGGTACGAGGTACGATAACGGTACCCAGTCGTCTAATAGTACGCAGACACAGCAGTCCGTCCCGCGTGCACAAAGAGCCAGTCATCACACCGTTGGATCGTCTCTCACAATCCGCGAGGGTGAGGGATGCGTTCTGATCCCTACAGGGGAGACACCAACAGCCGATCATGTGTACAGGTCTGATTCTGGGCTACTTGACCTTGTATACCGCATCTTGGTTGAAGTCTGACTACCTAGCCATCAATGCGTGCCAGACTATCAACATGATTGGGTGCACTCTGCGTTGTAGACATGATACCTCATCTGCAACGCGGTCGCGACGAAGATGCCAAGGGTTCCGCCGCACACGACCACGTCGAACGCCGGAGGGTTTTCCGCACCGAGCGGCGTGTCGCTCTCTGTGACGTACGTGGGGGCTGGTCCGGCATCGTCCCCCGTTTTCATGTTCCTCAGGGCTGTCCATCCCGCATCCGCACGGAGCAGCCCCTTTCCGGAAACACACACACACACAAGAAATGGAGGAGGAGGAGCGGACGAGAGCAAAGGGTTTGAGCCAGATGACCTTCCCCAAAACAAAAAACGCAGGGCTAGGGGGGAAGAACTGCCCAGAGATTGTTGTCAAAATGATTATAGGAATGATGGCGAAAACAAGGAGGATAATGGTGAAAGTACTCCTAAACGAACTAGAACACAAGTTAATAGCCTTGGTAGACGCGTGCAAAATTTCAGCTGCCTCTACCGTTTCTGTCTTTGATCCGAAGGATAGTTTAGCCTCCCCCATGCTGCCGGTGTGACCGGTGTTTGCCATCGGGGTTGGGTTTCGTCGCTTGGCAACGACGTTGTAAAACAAGCCGCCCCCCCCAGTGTTTGCCATCGGGGTTGGGTTTTCGTCGCTTGGCAACGACGTTGTAAAACAAGCCGCCCCCCCCAGTGTTTGCCATCGGGGTTGGGTTTTCGTCGCTTGGCAACGACGTTGTAAAACAAGCCGCCCCCCCCAGTGTTTGCCATCGGGGTTGGGTTTTCGTCGCTTGGCAACGACGTTGTAAAACAAGCCGCCCCCCCCAGTGTTTGCCATCGGGGTTGGGTTTTCGTCGCTTGGCAACGACGTTGTAAAACAAGCCCCCCCCGCCCCCGGTGCTTGCCATCGGGATTAGGTTTTCGTCGCCTGGCAACGACGTTGTAAAACAAGCC